ATGCATTTTAAAGATTGATCTTTTATAGTGCTAGGTTCTGGGTAAATAATGATTTTTTAAAAGTAACTAGTTGATTTAATTATTGTTTGTCTCTCTAGCTTACAGAAGAGCCTTGGCCTAGATTCTTTAGAAGAAGTTTTAGACGTTAAACTTGTCAACTCCAAGTTCATCATCCATAATGTATATAGTGTGAGCAAACAGGGAGTTGTCATCCTTGATGACAAGTCAAGTAAGTACATAAAAACCGTTTTGTTTCTGGTTGACCCAATATGTTGCCTGCACAGGCCCGTTGCCTTCTATTTGGCCCTTCTCTAAACCCTAAATAAATATACCCCCTCATTACATATAGCTTTCTCGCACTTCCTGATACCTTATAACTAATTTGGGTTAAAGAAATGTCATAGAAAGGTGAACATTCAGAAGTGAAAACCTCAGCAAAATCCATCCAGAGGCTAATTTAGTGTTAGCCACACTGGGCATCAAGTGGTTCTATATTATCCCCGAAAAAGCCCTGAGAAGTGAGCAGGTTTAAGACCTAACTGAGAGCTTCGGTCAGTTTTTAGGTGGGTCCTGGGGTCTGATAGATTTGAGGTTCTCATTTATTTTGGTGTTTCTGTGTCAGATTTCCTGGGGTACTCTTGGTTTATGTCATTTTTTCTTTTTAATAAGGGTAGCTCTTTAAATGTTGAAAGTGCTTTAATTTTTTATACCTTTCCTTCCAAGCCAGTTTACAAATCAGAAAGAAAAGACATTTAGCAGCCACCTGTCCTGATTTTCCAACTTCCTTCCCTGGATAATGATGGACTAGAATTGAATGGGCTCTTTGATTGGTTCTTCTTTACTTCACACCCTTGATCCTGGGAATTAGCTGGAGCTAGAATGACCTTGGGATGTGGGAAGGTGGTAGAGTACTTCTGGGTTTTTATAGTTTATTATTAGATTTAGGGCTGGAGGCTCCTGGGCAGCAGACAGAGCTGTACCAGAAGGAGCCTGAGCAGTGGTGAGAGGGGAAGAGGTTTCTCAGGGCCATGTTTCCTGACAGAAGCAGAATGTACCTGTGAAACCTGAAATGCTTCCCCTTTTATCGCCCCTGTATCAGGAATAGAAATAGATCTGTGACTTCATGAGCTGTCTGGTTAATATCAACATATAAAATTAAGTTACATAGAATGAGGGGTGGGGGAGCTATTGACTTTGAAATACACCTAAAATCCTTCCACATTCTCTGAACACAGTAAACATTAATACTTTTAGCTACCAGTTAATCAGTCATCTTTCGTCTTAATAAGTAAGTTCTTCAGAAAGAAGAGAGCATTTCACCAGACTCAGATTCGTTAGGTGTAAGAATTCAACCAGCGTCTTTGCATTTTTACTGAAAGTGGAGAAGATGAAGTGGAAGCATGAATGCTGGCCCTTCTCATCAGATGTCTGTGGCAGGGCGAGGAAGGAAGAAGAGACCCTACCAAATGGCTCTGCTAGTGTTTTCTGTAGTAATGTTAACCGTTATTATTTTAAGTCTGCCCTAGTACGAATAGCTTATATTAATATGTCAGTAGAACTTTGTTGCCTTAAAACATTTTGAAAATTAAAACATGTAAAATGATACTTAAATACATACAGAATTTACTTTTTTTTTTTTCTCTTTAGGTGTTTGGTGAACTGGTTTCACAAATGTATTTGATGACTAAAATTTTTACTTTTTCTTTGCCTTCTAGAAGTCCTAAGATAATTGATTTNTTCCCTGGATAATGATGGACTAGAATTGAATGGGCTCTTTGATTGGTTCTTCTTTACTTCACACCCTTGATCCTGGGAATTAGCTGGAGCTAGAATGACCTTGGGATGTGGGAAGGTGGTAGAGTACTTCTGGGTTTTTATAGTTTATTATTAGATTTAGGGCTGGAGGCTCCTGGGCAGCAGACAGAGCTGTACCAGAAGGAGCCTGAGCAGTGGTGAGAGGGGAAGAGGTTTTTCAGGGCCATGTTTCCTGACAGAAGCAGAATGTACCTGTGAAACCTGAAATGCTTCCCCTTTTATCGCCCCTGTATCAGGAATAGAAATAGATCTGTGACTTCATGAGCTGTCTGGTTAATATCAACATATAAAATTAAGTTACATAGAATGAGGGGTGGGGGAGCTATTGACTTTGAAATACACCTAAAATCCTTCCACATTCTCTGAACACAGTAAACATTAATACTTTTAGCTACCAGTTAATCAGTCATCTTTCGTCTTAATAAGTAAGTTCTTCAGAAAGAAGAGAGCATTTCACCAGACTCAGATTCGTTAGGTGTAAGAATTCAACCAGCGTCTTTGCATTTTTACTGAAAGTGGAGAAGATGAAGTGGAAGCATGAATGCTGGCCCTTCTCATCAGATGTCTGTGGCAGGGCGAGGAAGGAAGAAGAGACCCTACCAAATGGCTCTGCTAGTGTTTTCTGTAGTAATGTTAACCGTTATTATTTTAAGTCTGCCCTAGTACGAATAGCTTATATTAATATGTCAGTAGAACTTTGTTGCCTTAAAACATTTTGAAAATTAAAACATGTAAAATGATACTTAAATACATACAGAATTTACTTTTTTTTTTTTCTCTTTAGGTGTTTGGTGAACTGGTTTCACAAATGTATTTGATGACTAAAATTTTTACTTTTTCTTTGCCTTCTAGAAGTCCTAAGATAATTGATTTTTTTTTAGTTTATTATTTGTAAACAAACTATCAAATTTCTTCCTTTCACTAATGCTTTAAAAGGTGCATCTTGTCCTCAAAGAATTTTGCAGGCATGATTTATAGAAGCACGTGTTATAGCACTGCTCCTAAGGAAAAATTTCCATGTTTTAAATGTTCTGATACATAAATAGGTGATTTGTAATTAGCAGATATGTTTCATATTACTTGGGCAAATACTACATTGTTATGATACTAACTGTGTATATAATTCCTTGAGTTTGCAATTGAATAAAGTATCTGTTTTTATTTTTTTTTGCAGAAGAACTTCCTCATTGGGTACTGTCAGCAATGAAGAGTTTGGCAAATTGTAAGTACTCATTATTGACTAGTTCTATGAAATTAACAGAAATTAGTGTCCTGAATTAGAAAGCATTTTTGCTCAATGGCCTGAACCTTGATTTGACACATGTAAGACTGTCAGTAACTTGTTTTGGAATTACTGAATTTTTAGTGATAAATTTTTGATTTAGTGAAAGGGCTGAGATACAGAATGTTTTTAAGGGAATTTTGTGCTTCTGTTTTCTAGTAGATATAATTACACTGTGGATAAAGTCCACACAACTTCTTCTGACTGTTTCATCACAGGAAAACAAAAATTACTAATATTGAATGTAATATTGTTAACAGTTTATAGGTCTATATTCCTAAAACCTGTATTTTTATTCCTAAAAAATGTATTCTTAAGTCCTATATTTACATCATCAGCTTGCTCAACAGATCCTGTCTCCTATAATGAAATTTTATAGGGCACATAATTTAAATAGGAGAGAAGTGTTTTAGGAGACTAATCTAACTGGTATGCAGGGCGGTTTGGAAGGAGAAGAACCTGTAGGCAGAGAAACAAGAAAGACTATTTCAGTAATTTGGATATAAGATGAAGGAGCCTGGACCAGGGTGGTCCCTCTGAGGTTTTTCATAGGCTTATGGAACCCATTTGATAGGCATTTGATATCCACTTTATTGGATGTCATAGGCACTGTGAAGGAATGAGTTATTATTATAGTATCTCACTTAACGCTACCATTTTCTGGGGGTTTTCAGAAGGCTTGACCCAAAGAAGGGATTCCAGTTGTTAATGGCTTAACTCCAGCAAGTGATTTTAATTAGAATAATTCTGGTTATTTTAACTGACTAATAAGGGTGATATTTGGTTTAAAGGGCTTTTTGAAGTCTCACAGATCACCTCAGAGAGGTAATTTCTTTTTTCCCTTTTGGGTGAGACTAGTATGTACAGAGATAGGTGTATAAATTCTTGAATTAGTAGACTCTGAATTATTTATTTAACAAAATAATTTTTTTTAAATTATACAGTAAAACTGAATTAACTATTCAACTTACTGTGGGTACGCTCAGTGGTAATATGAAATGATTATATATATCATTTGAATATGAGTAGCAATATTGGTTTGTGTGAACCCCAAATTTCTCTATGTTTAACTATTAAAATTTTCATTGGTTTTTGATGAATATTTTGGAATCTCTGAGATGTAGATCATTTGAAATCAATTAAATTTAAATTATATCTTTGGCCAGGGTTGGCAATGATGAGAGAGATGTATAAATGGGAAGTTAAATTACCTGTATCTGAATTCCCCTCCAACCAAGGATTTGGAAGTGAATCAGCTGGGAATGAATAGAAGAAGCCAGTATAACAAATCTAAGCTATAATATGTTGTAAAGTGTATATGAAGGCGTGGTTATGATGTTGAATTTTCAGTGATGATCAAAATGTGGTGAAGAGTATAGTTCTCCCAAGTAAGATGTATGCATAAAGCCACCAAACTCCTGCAGAAAGGTTAGAATAACTGGAATTACTCATCAGTGGAGAGGAAAGCTGTGAGGAACTACTTAGTAATGTTCTGTATGTATATGAGGCGGTGTTTATTAGGTAGAATTTCTTGGGGACAGGAACACGTTTCACGTGTAGTAAGTGCAGTGCTGTATGGATGGCTGGCGTATCTATCTATAAAGATGCTTGTTTATGTGTCAAAGAAAAAAAAAGGGGCCAAAGGGCAAGGTCAGCTTTTTGAATAGTATTACAAAGTTAATAACTTTTCCATTCTCATTGGCCCCCCAAATTTACTTTGATTCTGTCAGTCATGATATGTTCCTTATCCTTATTTTTAATGAGTCTAGATTCCTATTACAATCGTCTAATCGGGAACAGAAAGGATAGGCTCATTATATGATATTTTGAAGGCCTCATGCCTGCTTTTCTGTAAATCTGCTGCTCCACTCTTTCCTTTAAGTTCATCTGCATTTATTGCAGACCATGTGCATATAGGCCTGGGTATTTCATTGTTAGCCAGACTCACGGTTGGCCACAGAATGAAGGTCTGATGCTAAAGAAATACAAAACTAAGTTGACTGTGTTTTTTTCTTCTTTGTGCATGTAGTTTGCAAAACTTCAGTCAGAAATGGACACAATTCTTTTCCAAAATCTGTCAGGAATAACATTTATAAAAAACTGGATTTAAAAAAAAATTCTGCAGTTCAAGATGATTATAAAGTAAAAGATCTTAGAAATATGGCCTCCTGTCATAGGGCTCACTATGCATTGGTATTTTTAGGGAAAGGTGTTTTTTTTTTTTTTTGCATATTTTTAATAAGAATGATGAACTGTTCACAAAGAGGTACACAAAGAAGTAATTCAAGACAATGTGTATTGCTTGCTGAAATATTTCAAACTAATTATAGTATTTCAATTGACTAAGCTTGCAGTATTTCAGAGGAAAAAACAAGCAAAAATAGTGGCTATGTATGTTGCTAGGTTAATACGGTACCACACATAGAGATCTTTCAAAATTTTCATTATATTGTCAATCAAGCTTATTTTCTAAGAAGTATACAGAATATTAAAGGGTAAGAAGAGTTTTTAAAGAGACCAACAAGAAGCCATATTTACAATGTCCCAGTGGCTTTGACATGTGAAGGCCCGGACTGCTTAATTGTCTTTTTTTAGTTTGATCCTTTCTCTTTAATTATGGCGAGTCTGTAGGAAGAATTTCATTTTAGTTTTCACTGGCTTCATCTTTCATGCTCCTGAAGGTAGAGATCCATTTGGGTTCAGTTTAATCTTGGGCTCTGCTGGCCCATAACTGGCCAGGGCAGTTGTGCTCCTTTCTTTCATGCCGTGTTGGAAATAGAGAAGGCTGGCTACACTTCCTCGTGGGACTACTTGCCATTCCCCCCAAGGCACCTTCGTCTCTCCGCTTGGCGGTGTGAATCTATGGTCTCTGATGGATAGTTGGGGCATTTTCTGCCCACTGTGGAGAGCTAAGGGCTTCTTGTTCCTCTTTGGTCCCAGATACCAGTGGATCTTTGCCTTGCTGCTGGCATAAGATAGGGTTGGGACCAGGTTGTTCCAGGCTCTTTGAAGTCGCTCCAACTTTGCAATATGACTCTGATTAATAAACTATCTTTTGATGGTTGGTTGGGGATCAGTTAGAGAGTTTCATTATCAGAATTATAAGACCGAATATAAAATCTCCTTTTCAGACTGTGTTTTAAAAAAGTATACATTTTTCTTAGTCCGAAATAGTTTAGTTAGAGGTAGAAATTGATTATTTCACTCAACTCTGACTCTAGAATTTTATAATATAGCAATGATGAAATAATGAAAAGCTTTAAAATTGATTTATAACTCATCTGTTATACATGTGAGCTAATTGTTACCATGGTCAGCTGTATCAAGACCAGGAAAATATTGAATATTTCAAAGAAAATTATCATTGTTTACATTTACTAAAATTGCCTTTCAGAAGGGCATGAAAGAGTGGGTTTTTTTAAAAATGGAAGTAAGCCAGTGATTTTTCTCCTTGTTTTATAATAGATTTCAACTTAGACACAAAGCATATTTGTGTAAGCAAAATGTATGTCAATTTATTTAATGTCAGTTTTCCCCATAAAAACGTTTCTATCTTGAATATCTATATACACCACACATATGCACAGAGACTAACACTTAGAGGTGGTTGACCTGTATCTCTTTCTGTCTGTTTTTTAACAGGGCCTAATTGTTCGGATTTAAAGCAACCTCTGTACTCAGGATTTGAAAAAGATGTCTTCAAAACTATAGCAGATTACTATGGTCACTTGAAAGAGCCTCTGCTTACATTTCATCTTTTTGATGCCTTTGTCAGTGTATTAGGTAAGTTGGAATTTATCCTCGTTATTGATATGAATCATTTCATTTTCACTATCTGGAGTCTTCCATTAGCCAAACTTCCATAGCGGTTTTGAAATAAAAACTGATGAAGTGCTTGCCTAGTTGGTGTCCTGCTCTGTGAAAGAGGAAAAGAAAAAGTTAAGCTGTATTATGAAAGTCAAAGCAAGGACCAATAGTTTTTATTTCTTAAGAAAGAATAATATGTTATATTTCATTTTTGTACAAAAATATGACTTTATTGGTGGGTAAGAATGCAAATTTGACATTGACTGTTTCTAAGTAAATCCTCCACTCTGGATATGACTTCATGAACTGTCAAGTATGGGAGATGTATTCTCATTTAGAGGTCTAATTTCTTTTTATAGAAGTAACAGGTTTTTTTAGGACTGTTTGTTATTTGTGATATGTAAAAAAATAGAGTAGCTTTATCATTTTCTAAAACTTGTTGCTATTCCTCACATAGATTATACTTCAGAATTTATACTGTCAAAGAAACATGGTAAAAAGGGAAAAAATCAACATTATTATAGGCCTTTCTGATATTGTTCATTCTCAGAAATCAGATTTTCCTCTTTGTGTTGTGGTTGTTCAATAAGTATTATTGTTTTCTTGTCAAAAGATTTGCTTTAATGACCAAACCATTGTGTGGGTATCAACTATATTATGTAAATTTTTAGGAATTATGCATACTCCTGTATTTGAGTATTGTGGGGTTTAACAATCTTCCCCTTTTCTTTTCTTCCTTTTCTTGTTTCAATCTTACTTTACTCTTGGAAAGTATAGATGCTGCCATAGTATCCTAACAAAATAAAGTATCAGCAAAATGTGAATAATTTACCTGATATCTTAGCACAATACTTGAAATTTTAAGATAGTGTAGGTTTTCTGATAATAAAAAACAAAATACAGCAATTAAAAATCAAGTACGTAAGAGTGAATTTGTTTTCAGAGAGACCAATATGGGGAACACATGAAGGGATTAGGCCTATTACTGGGTTCTGAACCACTGGGTCTTCTTGGTATTTTGTTTTCAACCAAGGAGGACTAGGGGCTTATGTACTTGTGAACATCATTCCTGATGATGAATTCTTGCTGTTGTTTAATATGTGTATGGTCTAATTGAGTAGATTCTCCTTATAGCTACTTACTCCCATTATAATACTGGTAAAAGATGAATTTTAAAGACTGGATTAAAAATCACTTCTTAGATTTTCTTCTCATTTTCATTTTCATAATTGTTCTATTACAAAATTTGATTTGCAAACAAAAGAACTTGGAACTTTTAAAAATGAATTCTAATTTGAATCATTTATATTTATGATGTAAATATATTCTACCACAATTGTTCTATTCTACCACAATTGTTCTACCACAATTGTTCATTTTGAACTCAGCTAGGAATTAGAGCTGATTATTTCCAAATTGAGTCAGGGTTGGCTACCCTCTAAAATATCATCTATAGAGGGTTTAGGATGGAGAAGGATAGATAGAATGGAGAATTTATTGCACTTAGGTATCAGCAAGAATAGACTAATATGTGTAGACAATCACAGATTATTAACCTTCCTTCATCCAGTCCTTCTCAAGTGAATATATGTGAGACATCCTGCATTGAAAACCATATCCTTATGTAGTGAAAGAAGAAAGTCTTCTAGATTATGGAAGACCATAATTTGTTTATATGACTAACAAAGAGTATCTAATATACGAGCAATCCTGTTAGAGCCTGTGGGAGAAGATGTCATATCTAGAATTTAAATATCTACCAACTAGATACATAGGTTGAATAACAGTAGGGTTAACTCATTCCAGAAACCTTTTGACTTAACTTTGGAATAGGATACCATCAGAAAAAAATATTTTAAAGTAGATAATCAGTTTCTTTTGTGTAGAAGCTAAAAAATTCTACAGCGTTTTCAAAGGAAATGATTTTCAGTTTTATTATTGAGTTTCTTTTGAGGTCTATTCTTTTGCTCTTGCATGAAATAATGCTGTATTGATGCAAAACTGTGACCTGGAAAGCAGTTAGTCATTGGTATTTGAAACAGGACATCTAAGAGTTGTTAAAAAAAAAAAAGAAAAAAGAAAAAAGAGATTTGAGACTTATTCTTTGGCGATGTGACTTATTCTTTACGTACAATTAAAAAAAAATGACTTAATTTGACTCCGCAGTCTGACCTAACATAACTGCCCATGGTAATTAACCTTCATTTCTAAAATGGCAATTCCTTGTATTAAAATCAGTTCATCTGATTCAAATGGGGTTAATGAGATAGTATAGCATACTTTACTCGCATTCCACACACAGCCTAGAATCTGTGTAACTTGTAATAATTTGGGCTAGTGGGGAAAGGGAAAAGCAGATAGGAAGCACAGTAGGGCATGGGAGCAGGGAAGAGTGTTTTAGAAAACTGGGTGATTTGTGGGTTGTATAATGTCTTAATCTGAGAGCCCACACTGGTGATCTGTGGCCCAAATCTAGCTCATAAATACATTTGGTTTGATCTGTGTGTTTTGAAAAGAAATTTAATTAATTGCCAAACTCTAAGAAATAGGAAATTCATATAGTAATTTATAACATTGGCTTCTTTAGAAAAACTGGAAAATTTGGCAATTCTGGGCTTGCATTTTCAGTGGCACAAACTGCTGCAGCTGTGTAGTGAGTGTCTCTACTAGGAGCAAGTGTTTCAGGGACATGAACTCTGATTTGCTAAGCCTCCAGTGCTCCCCATGGCTTCTCAGACTCAGAAGCAAAGTCACTTGACCCCCTTTTCTCATTTATTCCATTTGTCTGCTTCTATAGGCAGTTGAGCTCTCATCGCCTAGCTTATTTGCTCGTGGGCTGGAAGACTGAGATAGTATCTCTTTGTTGTTCCCTTCCTCCTAAATGTCAAGTTTAGAAAACGCCGTTGAAATTCACTAGGCTGACTGTACACTGATCATCTTACTCAGGTTGAGATCTCATTCTGTGTTTTTCAACATAAAAGTATCTATAAGGTTAGGTTTTCTATTCTTTGGTGCTTTGGTCTAGTGACTTCTAGGAGATCCTCTGGAGACACGCGCCAGCTTTGCCTTGTTACTGCTCTGCCCATACATTCTTCACATTATCTCAGGGTCCGTATCCCATGATAATTCTTAAGGGAAAACAATTCTTTTTTCCAGAGAGTGCCCAGTTGGTGTGCTTAACCAGGCAGAGGGCCATTGCTCATGTTAGTCCAAAGTTCTTACTTGTGGTGCTCTCTGCTCTCAGGGCCCAGGGCTTGCTTATTATGGCCGGAGTTTTGGAAGATGGGCCAAAGTAAGGATGTTGAATCCCCTCTAAATATAATGACTACTGTTATGTCAAAATTGTTGGAATAAAGTGGCGTTAGGTGCTATTAAATATGGAAATTTAGGTAAATGCCTAGGTATTCCCTAGCTATAATGAAATACATAAACTGTAAGTATACTGGTGACCACTAAGGTAATTAACAGAACTTTTAGGAAAAAATTTAAGACCACTCAGGATAAATTCCAGCTGAGTTAGAGAATTAAATGTAAAAAATACAAATCTAAAATACAGTTGATATTTATCTGATGTTGAGTGGGTGAAGGACTTTCTAAGCATAAAAGTAAAAGAAGTGATAAAAATGCTGAAGTATTGGGGCTCTTCCTGTAGGAAAAGGCATCATCTTGTGTGTGGGTGAATCTGTATCTACTTTTAAGCAATTCACAAAGGCGACTTGTTTGCTTTTCCTTAAAAGCCTCTGGAGGGCTGGCCGAGTGGCTCAGTTGGTTAAGAGTTGGCTTAAGAGCGTGAGCTCTGAGCAACAGAGCTGTCAGTTCGATTCCCACATGGGCCAGTGACGCTGTGCCCGAGCTGAGCTGTCACTGAGCTGCCAACAGGTGGCAGGATGGCTCAGCTGGTGTAACAACAAGACTGCCTGTTCGATGGTGGGCTCTGCCCACCCACAACTAAGACTGAACTCGGCACCTTGGGCTGAGCTACTGCCCGGATGGCTCAGTGGATAGAGTGTGTGCTCTTAACAACAAGGCTGCTGGTTCGACTCCCACATGGGCTGATGGCTACGCCCACCCGCAACTAAGATTGAACACAGCACCTTGAGCTTAGCGGCCACAAGCTGCAGGCGGGCAGCCAGATGGTGACTGACGCCCTCCACAACGAAGACTGAACAACAACTTGGCTAGTCCCCTTCCCCAAATCCCCAAAACTGTTCCCCTCCCCCAATTCCCCAATAAAATCTTAAAAACAAACAAAAAAACACAAGCCTCTAGAGAAATAGGCCCTCTTGCTGTGTCTTTCTTTTTTTTTTTTTTTTTTTCTTTTAGCTGAGCCATCCTGCTACCTGTTGGCAGCTCAGCGGCTGCTCAGCTCAGGCCATGAATGGAACCCGTGACCCTGTTGCTCAGAGCTCGCACTCTTGAGTGAGCTCTTAACCAACTGAGCCACTGGGCCGGCCCTGCTGTGTCTGTCTTTAGGCAGCATCGTGTTCTTGCCAATTGATGTGTAGTCTGAATTCTTTTGGCTTAGTATAAACCCTTTCCTTTTTATACCTCTTCTCAGTGAAAATGAATCTGTGACATATGTGTTTATTCCTTTGGTTATTCAAAAACTGCAATGAACCATTCATGACATGGTCCCAGTGGCCTTTGTGGGAACTCTAGGCCCTCTCAAAAGTTCATATTTCACCTCTGTTTTGAAACTCCTATAAGGAATAGCTTATTGTTAACATTGCATATGTTAGTGGAATGATCAGGTCTACTTTGCAAAAATGAAAATTTGTGTTCCTAATGATTTGAAAATAGATATCTGATGTAACCATTGGGGAATGGGAGGGAAGGCAACAGAGGAAGGATGATGGCCAAAGTATATTACCTAACTTCCAATAATACCACAATAAAACACTATGAATTACCATTGATTTTGATTTTATTTATTTGATGATAAGGAACAGTTGGGTTTCTTTGAGTATTAAATTATT